TTAAGGCTGGCCCTTTTTGTTAGGTTGGTATAGTGTTCGTTGCAAAATTTTCCTTAGCAACTCCTTGGATACCAACAAAGTTCTAGAAGTTCTGCCACACCCTATCATAGGCCTTTAACGGTCATTTTTACTGTTTACTGCATAGTTTGGTAATCTCAAACTGCCATTGGCAAACTTCCTGTTTTCTGCAGATGACATATTATTTTAAGGCGACTTGTTAAAGAAGGACTTTAACTTAGTTCATAATGGCTAGAACATCCCGTTCAGAACTTCTCCTTTCAACATAACTTGCTAAAATGGGTTCAACTTAGTTCATAACGCCTGAATATTCCATTCAGAACGACTTGATTTGTGTTCATTGATTTTCTGTATTTTAACTATAATCTCTTAAACAACAAAGTCCATGCTCAATAATCCAGGTATACAATCCAACATTTTTCAGTCAGGTCATCTGGACAGTTTCTTTTTTGTGCTGAAATGTTTCGCCTTCGATCCGGAAGGCTTCGTCAGTCAAGGAAACACACAACAAAACTGATTCTTCCCCCAACAGCTTTGTTGGACGTTGTTGTTTTCAACCAGTTTGACACCACTGTCAACAAGGAAGAGGGGGCGTACCAAAGAGACCATCTAATCACAAGTAAAAATGGTTTGTTCCACTTTGGAGTAAGCTGTTGGGGGAAGAATCATTTTTGTTGTGTGTTTCCTTGACTGATGAAGCCTTCTGGATCGAAGGCGAAACGTTTCAGCACACAAAAAAAAAGAAACTGCCCAGATGACCTGACTGAAAAATGTTGGATAATCTCTTAAAGTTAAATTACACATTAATGATTAATCATATAAATCACACATTAATCACTTTCAAATATAGGCTTTTTACTTATTTAACAATGATTGAGTTATGATTCATAAGATTCTATACACTTTTTTTTTTGCATAGTACATTGATTCCATAGATTTTATATTAAACATGTTACACATCACTTTTAGATTTGTTTCAACAAAGGCAGTTTCAGCCGCAACTTTCTTGCAGAACTTAAAAACTGACTTCGTATACTTCGCCAAAACCCACATTCCTTGACAAGTCGCAGTACAATCTCAGTACAGTGTCAGTACACTCTTAGTACAGTCACAGTACAGTCTTAGTACAGTCACAGTACAGTCTTAGTACAGTCACAGTACAGTCACAGTACAGTCTTAGTACAGTCACAGGACAGTCACAGTACAGTCACAGTACAGTCACAGGACAGTCACAGTACAGTCACAGTACAGCCACAGTACAGCCACAGTACAGTCCTAGTAAATATCTCAAACTAAAACAAAAAAAGGACCATCAATTATTAGAACATTTTCTGAAAATAAAAAAAGATAAATTGATTGATGGAGTTGGTTATTCTGTGTTGGTTGTTTGGTTGAATGGTTGGTTGGTGTGTTTGGTAAATTTGGCTGGTTGATTCAGCACCAGTGACCCCCAGGACCCAAAAAGGAATAAGCAGGTAAAAATAATGGATGGATGGATAGATTTAGTTAGTTAGTTAGTTAGTTAGTTAGTTAGTTAGTTAGTTAGTTA